CCACTACTAGCTCAGCGGCTCTGACGGTCGCTGTGATGCAGTGACGAGGGTGGTCCTGTCTCGGCTCCTGCCCAGGGCCCCGCAGAGGCTCCGCTTTCCGGGAAACTCCTCCCTGTGGGTTGGAACACGCTTTCCGTTCTGTCTTCCACCCACAAATCCCACGCCGCTGCCCTCCTAACAGGCGCTCGTCCTGCTCCGTGGCCGGAACCTCACGGGCCGAGGCGAGACGCAAAGGACGGAACCCCTTTCCCCCCTCAGGTCCTGGGGGATGGGAGAGTCACCCTCACCGTGGACCTCCTCAGCCTCAGCACAGGGTTTCTTACCACGAAGGCGAGACCTTGCCCCGCTCACCCACAGGAAGCACCTTCGGGCTCCCCTTGGGCACCTCTGACTGCCAGCAGCACCTCTGCGTGCTGAGCCCGTTGCCAAGGGAAACCAGGGCGGCTGGGACACAAGCGCTGAGATACGTGACTGGCGGGCGGGGAGCGTCCACAGTGCGGGACGCTGGACAAAGGGATGATTCACGTCCCTGGGACAGCTCAGGATCGCATCACGCGTCTCAGAACAGTAGGCAATTTTAAACATATGCCCTGTTTATTTCTGGACTTTTCCATGAAATATTTTCATTCTGTGGTTGAACTGAGACCCTGGATGAGTGGGGACGACTGTATGTTGAACTCTGAGGGACATAAAGGGACGAGCGGGGGAGTGAGACGAGAAAGGGGGTGGTTGGCGACCAGGGGCCAGATCGGACGGGCTCGGGTTCGGGGCACCTCGCCGGGCATTTCCTGACACTGAGTTTTTGCAAAGCAGAGGTCGAGAGGTGCCCGTGGGAAGGAGGGCGGCAGGAACACGGGAACCAGCAGCGGTGACACAGACCCTCTCCCGCCCGTGCGAGTCCGGAGGAAGCGCACACTCTGCGGTGAGAACCCGCGGGAGAACCTCCCGCACTGCAGCCTCCACCGCGGCTTAAAGGGAGTGCAGACAACTGACCAAGTGTTACAGTCCTTCAGAGTCTAGGATGGGGCTGTTCAAATGCAGGTTACAGGGCTCATCGATGGAGCAAACAGAGCCTCCAGCCCCCTGCACAGGGAGCTGCCTCGGGTGGCGGACGGCTTAGACTCCTTCAGGTCCCAGGCTCAGCGCGGGTGGGAGCTGCCCGCCTCAGAGCCGCCTCTGCCCTGAAGCTTTCAGACTCAAGGGCCGAGGTAGTGGCCGGTCAGAGGGGCTCCCCGTGCCCGGGTAGGACCCGAGCCCCACCCCAGTCTGTGCTGCAGGCAGGAGCCCCCAGCAAGCCCAGCGTGAGCCCGTGTGGCGGCGGCGGGTCCACGTCTACTCGTCTACTCGCTGTGCTGCAGGCTGAGCCTCACCACTAAGACGAGCCTGGGCTACGCTGAGACAAACGTATGCCCGCGTCAGGGCCCAGAAGGCCGCATTAGCGACCTCCATGTGGTGACTTGTCCCCACAAACGGGGAGCAAGTGCGTGAGCACCAAGGACTCTGCGGAAGGGAGAGAAGGGTGGGGTGGGTGCCTCTGCAGGACACGGGGGCCCAGGGAGAGCAGCACTGGGGTGAGTGGGGCTTGGGGAAGGCACAGCCTGAGGCGTCCCTCCTGCTCCCCTCGCCGCT